ATCGCAATTTTATCAGCAATTTCTTGAATGAGAATTCACATAATTGCAGTTACATACTTTCGTAAGTCAATCTCTTTTTTTATTTCGTATTAACCCATATTTCTATTATTTACTTTTCACGATCCAACTTTTGACGTGTAACTTTGCTAAATATTTAATTTAAAAATTATAAATATAATACATATAGCGTTGAATATTTTTATCTTATAGCGTAATTCAAACTTTTTTCATTTATTGTCCTCAATGTATGACTCGTTTACATAAATTTTATATTGAAAATTAAGAAATTAGTGAAGTTCTCATGTAAAACGCGAATTTAATTTTTTTAAATTAAAAATTAAATTAATTTTTCTTTGAAACTAATACACTATACTATCTGCGTTTCATTCTTAGTTCTTACTTGTCCGAGAAATTTAAAATTGTGTAGTGAGATATTTTATAGAATGAAAGAGCAAAACAAAAAAATATATTTTTGAGTTTTAATTATATGTATGTTTGAATTCTCTATTATATATTGAAATTTTTTTATAATTTTTTGCACCTATATAAAAAAAAAATTTTTTTTAATATTTTAAAATCAAACTCCATCTAAAACTTTAAGGACGTTAATCAGCTATTGACCTTCAAAACGCCAATCAAAGCATCATTGATTAGTGGCTTATATATTAATTTCTCATCTAAAGAATAGTAATCGAGGTCAAGATGGTTTCAATGCAAGTATCATTGGATAGGATAGTTAGATGCACGTGTCGAGTGGAGATACTGAGAGATATCTCACTTGTAAACGCAATCGAGCTTGTGGGTGGTTGATTGAAGTGACCACAATAGTCTGCGGCGGTGTTCAGTTTGTCGGCGCAGGCTCTGAACATTCTCTTTGGTTACATAAAATCTCTACAATCGCGGCTAAGCCATATCGCAAGCAAGTCTTGGCGACCCTCGGCATAGTTTCCTAATCAGTATCTGGAATATCCGCAACGGTTGCGTGCCTCTATATAGTTATAAAAGCCCCATATATCTAAAGCGCGAGTTTCCGTTTAGTTAATTGAAATGAACGCGAAACTTCTGGCATGTAACTTTTGATTATCGAGTTATAAACGCTGTCGAATTCAATATTTTATAATTAAAATCTGGAAGTGTATCATATTCTTATTATGGGATACATTATATGATCGCAAAATTGACATAAGGATAATGATTATTTTATTGGAAGGGTCAGTAATTCATTAAGCATCATTCGTTTATTCGATTTTGAAATAGTCTGCGTTTTGTAAGAGGCAAAATAAAATGATACAAGGTGAACGAGATTTTTGCTTTGTTTCTAACATTTGTAAAATCTTAGTGAGCCCGTTATATTGCGGTAAAACACTTTTTCCCTGTGCTTCTTTTCTTTCTTTCTCGTTTAACTGCGTGGTGGACGACAGCTTGTTAAACCTCCAAATATTTGCCCCAGGCTGCTCGAAAATTCTAGCTGAGAATTCGAAGCTCAGAAAAACAGAGTACGTTGGAACAGATCCAGGCAATAGCATGCTGCGAGATTCGACAATCATCAAGAGAAACGAAGTACTGTTACTTTTGGCGAAGAATGAAAATTTCTCTGAATCGAAGATTTGATTATTGTTACACTTCGTGAAGCAGAATAGAACTCTTATTTATACTTTCTTGTTCTACTTATTTATATTTCATTTATTTTAAGTTTATTTGAACTGATTTTTCACTTCAACTAATATTTTTACAATTTGAAGGACTTTATTATATTATATGTATTTAAAATTGAAAATTAAGATTAACAAATAATATAAATTGCAAATTCATCAAAAAGATTAGAAATGTTGAAAAAATTTCAATACATCCCGTGTATATAATTTTTCAATTCTACACTGCAGTTAAATTAGCGAAACAGGACTGTCTGATTGTGCGCAACTATGGTCCCATTAGCCTACAAGATCGACGGATCCTTGGAGAACTCGGCCGGCAATGAAAAGTTTCAACGAGACGTTAAATTATGCAAGGGAATGCGGCAAAGTAATGACCGTGTGGATTAACCTCGACCTTAGATGGGGATTTTGAGCGGTAGTTTTTGAAAGGGGCGAGGTTAAACGATAAGATCCAATTATCGAGAAACAGTTTATCTCGCGGACGCGAACGAAAGGATAAGCCGGCGGGAAATTCAGAGCTCACTTTTCTCCGTGGAATGGACCGGGACTCCGAAAACATCTGATATACGTCGCGAGGGAAGAAAAGCCGATTGTTAACTTTGTTGATGTACGACCGGTTTAAAAAATCGAGCTATCAAGACGGCAGTAATTATAGGATTGTCGGCGATAAGCGTGAATAGAATAGCGTCTGTATCTCAGTTTTAAAAGAGTTAGAGATATAAGATACTTTCATATAAAGATACACTTTATCGCACTATTAACCAGATGTGTGTGCAATTATTATGTTAAGATTTTTAGTACTTTGTATTATAAAGTAGAAAATTACTTTATATAATCACTTAGCATTCAAGAAAATAATCTATTAGTTTCGCCAATTACGAAATATTGGTTGGTTAATTGTTCCACTAAATTGGTTCAAAAAATCGTCTTTTTTTTTTAACACGATAGGAAGTTCGTAGTATTGTAGTACATGATATATTATTTCCTTGTCCCTACCGGCGCTTCTCCCTTGCGTGCTTTCCGGATACAAGGATCGATATCCCTGTCTCGTATTGCTGTACGTTTCGGGGATATATCGAAATTCATCTTCGTGGATGCGAGCCTCCCTTGGGACACGGGAATGCAGCTTCTCGAGAGGTGAGCATTCCTCGTGTAAGACGCGCTTGTAATCAGGATAAGAACGCGGTTTGAACACTGGGAAACCCGAAAGCCAATGCCTTACGTGACGAGGCTGACAATGCGCGAAATGAACGAATAAACGAAACCGGAATTCCTATTGCGACAGTAGTAAAAATGGTAACAATATAGCTAACTAAGCGTTATATCAAGGAGAGTTTCATCTTGTATGTCAAAAAGTCGCGAGGATCATTGCATGCATTCACTCGTTGCATATGCGCCATATTTGTCTTCGGAATATTTCTCTTGACATGTGGATACGATATAAAATGCTGCCAAAGCCGCGCTATATTTTGTTTTTGTATTTTTTCAAAGTTTTCGTGGATTCCTTATTTTTCATAAACTGCTTCTATTTTTCATCCATAACATTTTTATTTGTTAAATATAATTTAAAACGTAATGTTAATTAAAATTGAAAAAATGCAAATATAGAAAATTCTAGGTAATATTTTTTTTTTAATTTTATTACAAAAAAATCAATTATAGTTATATTACGTTGCAATAGGATTTTTGATATAGATATTTTTAATAGTTTTCTAGATCAATTTATCACATAATTCAAATAAATTTTTTTAAATTGAAAAGTTTTATATAATATGTACATTTAATATAACTATACTAATTTCTAAGTTATCATAACTTTGTTATCTAAGAACTTTTTTCATATTTTGTACACATTATTATACCTTCAATGTTCATGTAAAATAAATTTATAATTATTTAGTTAATTAAAATTATTTTATATTAGAATACGAGGAAGATAATTATAATGTATATATTTTATATATCTAAATTCTTTTTGTTTATATATTTGTTTTACAAGATATGTATATATTGAATTTTTCAAATTGATTGATAATTTTTATAATTGGTTGTGATGTAATCAAATTTTTCGTTTAGTCTCCCGTAACAAATTGATTGAAACAATCTACGTTTTCATAAGAGTTGACGGGTTTAATTGGTACACAAAAATTGACAAAGGCCAACAGAATAGGATTATTTCAACTTTGATAGTGTTAATTAAAGTTTAAAATCATCGCATTTGTGTGTGATGCATCTGAAGGGGTTTCCAAAAAATATTGCAAGTAATATAATTTTCGTGATGAGAAAATCTCGATGAAAATAAATTTTGTAATTTACAAATAGCATTACACACCTGTATATAAAAGTAAATAATTTTTACATAATTATAACTGATTGCAATATAACATATTATTTAACACAAAATATGAATGTTATTAAATATATTGTTAAAGATACATTTTTTATATCCTGTAATATTTAAAGAGGCATTTTGCTTGCAACATTTTTTCAAGGATACTTTCTCTTATTTTTTTTAATATAATACGCGAATTTATAAGTAGAAAAATTCCTGAAACCCCAACGAGAAAAATAAGATATCATATTTATCATACTCGTGTGCAACATTACGTGATTTATAGTGTTGCTCGGTCATCTTTTGCCATCCGGTCTCAAAAACCTAGAAAGCGTGCGCGCTTTCGGAAATTTATTATATTAAATTTGTAATTGTCGTGAAAATATGCGCAAATAATTTACTTTGCCAACAATGTGCAATTAATTAAATAATGCACTTTGTGTGCCATTTTATTATGCAACCTGCAGACACACTCTGAGCAATGAAAGTCCTTCGTCTTCACGAGCCTTGTTAAATGCACATGAGCTTTTTTTACAGCAATTTTTAATTACGATATGAAACTGGATAATGAGTTACGCGGTCGCTTTTAGCGCGTTAATTTATCTTGCGTCGTACGAATGTCAAACACGTTTGTGACTTCTTTTATAAAAAAAAAGAAAAATAAAAACTGTGTGTATATATTTATAATGTTAGCATAAAATATTACAAATTTAAATTTCAAAGTATATAAGATATTTTTATGTAGCATAACCCAGTTTTGTTTTTATTTTTCATTTTCATCATTTTCCTTAATTTCTAAATTATAGAAATTTAAAGCCTCTTTAAAAATTAAATATTAACTGTATTATTATACCACAAATATTAAATAACTATGACCTAATATCGTTAAATGCTATTTTTGTATGAGTTATGAGTAATTTTCATTTAAATATTAAAAATATACTTTAACACAAGAAAGCAATTTTTTGTATGTAAGTACGTATAATACAATTAATATTCAATCTTTGTTACAGGACGAGAAGAATCAGTTGCTCATCACGAATCTTTGGTTGAAACTGGTAAGTCTCTGATCTACTCAAAGTTTCCCATTCGTGGAAAATAAAACGAATCGCGACTTCCTTCCAACTGATCGTTGCCAATTACATGAACGGCATGAAACTTTTCGAAACTATCTCAGTCATTTTTTAAAGAATCTTCACCGTTTCATTAATTGGATGTCAATCCTGATTGATCTAAAGTTGTCCCTACTATTTGGGAGTAATCCAATTACTGCGTTACACATTGTCCAGTTTTATTCGACGTTCCAAATCGTTCTCGCGAAATAGTTGCGTCATGTAAATCAGGCAGTCATCAGTGCAAAAAAAAAAATGGAATACAAAAATAACATGATAAACTGCATATGACGTACTCCAGTTACATATGGTTCCATTTTATTCAATATGTAATCGCCTTGTTTATTATTGTTTATTAGTATGTTTTTATCGGCCAAAAATCGATATGTCGAAAATATATATATGACAAACACTATATAACTGCTACTGTTTTATTAATATAAAGGTTCTAAATCTTGAATAATTTAAAATATATATTATAGAAAAAATTTTTTATCGCTTTTAAACGTTGATTGTAACGCGCATTTACAGCTTTATCATTAGATCATCAATACACTTCAAAATATATGATGGAAAAACACTGGGGTAAAACCGCAACATCAGATCGGATTTTTATCGGCATCTGAACTATTAATAGAATAGCCGCAACAGGTTACTTCCAAGAAGCGACGATGCGCCCCTTATTAAGACTGCGGCAATGTTTTCTTTCAGAGAGCGGGTGTCGATCCGCTCACAGGCCTCAAAAGTGATCGTTGTTGCTTATTTTTTCTAGTTTATTGAACGGCTTGTAAGTCAATTCTGCGCGAGTTCACGCGCGCCTAACAATGACCCAAATTTCAATTTTGCACGTACAATCATTTTTGACTGCTAATTGACGAATTACGTCGGTCGGATGCGCTACATGACATCCTTCAACGCAACTAACAATTCAAATGACAATATTGAGGAAGGAAATCGTTTATCGTTACACTACTGGCTCGATTGGCAGATAATTTTGCCAGCGGCAATTTTAACTTTTTGCAACTTTGCGAGTTAATATTCCGGGTTCATTCAACGAGACAAATTTAATTAAGTTCGTCTTGCCGCTATCGTTGTCATTTTCAATATACAGAGAGATTTTATACTATACTTTTCTTACAGTAACTACTTTATTTCAATTATAAAACTATTTTACATTGTGACATCTAAGTTAATCTTGATAACATTTGCAATCTCGAAAGTACTATCATACCGAAGATATGATATAGAAATGTCAACTTCCATCTCTCGCTATTTAATCTTTCTTCTGTGTCTCATGACGGCCAATGCATACGGAAGTAACACGCAGCTGTATTTGACTCAGAAAGTCGATACGTTTGCAAATATAAATCATGTAGATATTCAAAGAATATTCGACGTTCGTGAATCGATGTAATGTATGCAACGTCGCTATCAACTACACTTGTGTCGAATGCAAGAAAAGAACCGAAATTAAATCCGTGTTCCACGAAGAAGGGCCTACATATTCAAGATGGAAAAATTGTATTTTCAAAAGTAATATTTTCATAATTAAACATGTTTGATCTGTCATGGAAATAAAAGAAATTATTAAGAAATATTTTTATTTCACGAAAAATATGGTGATCCGTGAAATAATTTTGCCTCCAGCAATTACTGCGTTATATGCATATATCAAAATTTAACTTGCAATTCAATGTCAATAATTTTACACGATGTATTAGCATAGTCCGCGCCAATATTATGAATATATTCGATATTTGCAATTACGACCACTAGAATTTATCAACTTAATCCTTGCCGATCGATCATTAAACCGTATGAAATACGCGATATTTCATTTCCAGACTTATGTCATGAGTGACGTGATCATTATCTCTTGTCGTGTATCGAGTAAATTGAAAAAAAAAATATAAGAGATCGTGGTTAAAGATTTTTTTTATACACTAGAAACTCTTCAATATTACTCTCGATATTTGCGCTTGCTCATAAAGCAATTGCAATTCGTCCGTATCGATATTGATAAACCGTCGCGTTTCACTAATATTTGGTTTACAAACTAAACGATGAATTAATTTAAAAGAAATTATTGATTTTTGCGAATGAAAAGTTATAAATAAAAATCACCATTTGCGTCATAATATCAATAATATTCTCATCCATCCTTTTATGTAATCCTTTTATCATTCTTGTAAATTAATACAATCGTTATTCTATTATTTTAATCATTTAATGTTAATTATTAATTATAGTTATCAGCGAATAATTATCTAATACTCGTATGTTATCTAATACTCGTATTACACAATCAATACCCATATATCAATTTCCAGCAAAAGTTTATAACTATTGTATTCACGTATCAACCGCGCGTCATTTCCTTCTTAAATTGACCGAACACCGAGATGATCGGCGTTGAAATTTATGTAGGAACTTGCTCTCGCGGAGAAAACGTAGCGCGATCCGACGAAACTAGTGACGAGGAGACGAGACGAGACGAGACGAGACGGCGCTGCATAAAGTTTCGTTACTTCGGTCCCATCGCCTCTATGTATAGTGCAACGAAAGAAGGGAATCTATTTACATAATTTTCGCTGATGGAACAGAGAATGTAACTAGCGCGAGCCGCCAGCGATAGCAAGTGCGAAGTACGTAGATGTACATATATGCGCCAGGAAACGCGATACCGGGTGTCTCATAATCTCCACGTATCTATCCGCGACTGTCCCTAGGCGTCCTGGCAATTTCTTCCAATGGACGGAGGATGGTTGCGCGGGACTTGCGAAACGGCTGTCCAGGGATTCTGTAGACTATCGGGTAATGGAGATACCGTGTTCGGATCATTTAGGTATCTTCCTTTGGACGATATAGTGTATTTCGGAAGGCGCCTGCTATACGTTGGATTATACGCGGGATCTTTTCCGGATTCCAGAAATTTGTCCCTTTTATTCCTGTCTACTGGGTTACTTTCAAAGTTAATAATGCAATATAATTGTTTATATAAACTTGACGTACGTTGTTGGAAGATTTGTTCTTTCGTTTCTTTAACATTTATCGCGCACTCATATATATTTTTATTATTAAAATATTGTATTATTTAAAAAGCTCCTTATACGTGTTCGCTTGTCAGACAGGTTTCGCGAGTTTCATTACTACAGGGACGATAAATCACACGGAGAGAAAATAATATATAGATGCGCGTATGGGAAAGTTTCCGGACGATGGTGTGCTTTACGTACGTGCTAAGAGTGGAAACCAGTGCAACTCTTGTGCGACATAAAATATAAAACTCCGCGCCGAGGACGATGTATTACGTATAAGTGCATCAGTATGTGAATTACACCTGAGCCGTGACTAATACGATTTTTCATAGGCGTTATAACGCGTATGAAAAACGAGCTTTCGAAACAATTTCAATTTAAAAACATTTTAAGATAAGCAGTTTTACAGCATAAATAAAACATTCTAGCTAGACTTTGTAAATATATATTTTAATTCATCAGTGATAAGATTAAAAAGAATTATTTTTCTCTAATTTCAAAGAATTTCTTTAAGCCTGTTATGTATTTAAACATATTTCTTATGACGTTTATCGTTTACTTTTACGTCACCGACAGAACGGTACTGAATCGACAAATCTTCTAATGTTTCTTCAAGTTAAACAAACTCCTACTTCGCGTGAGAAAATCCACGCGATCGCGGCGAACAAATTCTCTACGTCCAATGCAACTTCTCGGTCGACTCTAGGAAGGAAAGTCTACTTGAGAACGTAGAACACTAGCGAATCCCGGCGAGTTTTAATGGGCCAACCGGTATTATGACCGACAAGCCGCAGAGTTTCATTCTTTTTCATTCGTAATAGAAACTGTTTCTTTTTTCGCTTTCCTCCTTGTATATATTACATGCTTTCATTCTCCATTTTCCTTATTCGTCGCATTCGTTGCTCGATTTTGTATGTATACACTTAGAGACGAGTTTTGCTCGACATATTCTACTTAGAATTCGCGAATGTAGGAGAACATGATTTATGCATGTACAAATCGATATAAAAATTGGAATTAAGATTTTTATTTCATTTTTGAATTAATTGCGAAAAATAGTAATACGGACGGTTTTATCAAACTGATATTGCGCGGCTTAGCTAAAAGTAAGTGAATTAAATTTTTCTATATTTGCTTTCTTTATATCAAATATTTGGAATTCAAAAATTGAATCGAATCGGAAAAATTCTTTCATACAACAGTTTACATATATACATTTTTTAAAATAATAAAATAAACAATGTTTAAATAGAAAAATGTTCAAAGTAGAAATTTTATTTAAAACTTTCTGATGCTAAGATACTGTCACAAAAAAGTGCATTGATAGTTTGTATTTCGCGCAGTTTGCAATTGATTTTTTTAATCATAAACTTTTAACAACAAATTTCAAATAAAGATTAAAAGTATACGAAAAAGGAAACTCATTGTCAGATAAGTTTTCGATTAAAGTTCAATTTAACTATTAACGGGCACTTCACACCTGAAAAGTCTAAGCCGTAAATAATTCAGCCGATGTATTTATCGAATAAAGTTTCTAGTATCTTAATTAAGCGCATTAAATTATTGTACAATACTTTCTTGTATACGTTAATTACTCAAATCGAGAGTTTTCGATTTGAAGTATCATTATTTATCTGTTAAACATAATTGTTCAATTGAGCGTGTAGCAAAAGCGTTCTCATGCGATATTAATTTCATGCCGATTTAATTTTCAACGTTTCCTCGAGACGATATCGTACACCGTATCTTTCCTCCTTGTCAGCATCCGTTTATGAAGGAGTGCAATATCCTTATTAAAAGATTGCCCGAGAAAAAATTCGTATAATATATTGTAAAAGCACCAATACGCGGACGGCTTTAAATAGCTCTGTTTTTCGCATACTGATTAGAAATAGATTTTCATTATCA